TAAAAGTTGGTGGGGCAGCATCCCCATCCCCTAGTGCCGCCCTTAAATTCAAGAAAGGTAACATACACTTTGCTCACAAGACACTATATAACTTAGTCATTGTAAAACATTTACTGCTTATGAATGTGGTGATGTATGTGAATGTTCAGTTTTCTTAACTCGTAGATCGAGGTAGAATGCAGGTAAACGAGATCAGTAGAATAACTCAATGTATTTACAGTTTCTTTATAACTCTTACCAGCACTGACTTTAACTTTACCTAGTTCAGTATCAGAATACTCAGCTAAGATAGGTTCTTTTCTGGTTTTCCGATAATCTTAAAAGACACTATGGGACATTTTTCAGTAGAATGTGATGCTACTCACGCCACAAAATCGCCACGGATGGGAAGATGTTCTATGCTTACTTCCTTCAAAGCTTTCTAGAAACCATCGAGCTTAACATATCTAGTTCCTTTTCTTCTGAGCCAAGGGATGTTCGATGTGAAACCGCTTTTGCATCCGTACGGAATGTTTCATCAACGTTGCAAACAATTATCTCAGCGAAGGACGCTACTTCCCGGCAAAGTCAAAAGATAATTTACAACCACTTTTCTTCAACTGACTATCGTTAATTTCATTGAAAAATATTTTCCAGAAAGTGGAGACATGTAATATACGAAGCATGATTTAAAGTGTTGCCTCTTGAATTGACGAACAAACAATCATGTTCTTTATCCCCCAAAAGCAAGTTTCTCATTTTAGTGCAGTAAACTGTCAAAGAGTGAGTAAAGATAAAACACTTTGGGACAACTTTTGGTAGTCCCTCGCCAATGTGAATTTCAAGTCTCTGATAATTTGCATCTCCACCAGACGCTTCTTCCAGAACTTATATTGCTTTCCGAGTTTGCTTTTACTTGTAAAAGTGATTGATGTCCTCGTCCTCGAATGCTATTATGGCCTCTTAACCACACTTGTTGTTTGTATGGTAGTCGAACAATGTATGGTTTTGCTGAAGTTTTCTTGCCACTTTCGCGGACTTGCTCATTTTTTCGTTGGAAACTTGAGATGCTTTTCCACTAGCAAACCATGATGTACAAAGGTGGAAAAAAGTCGGACGCTTTTCAGATAGGACTTCAACATTCCACTTGTCAACTTCTTTCCGTTGAAAGATAGGGTTCCTTGAATGTCTGAGATATATAACCCTTTCTTTTTTACCAGAAAGTATATGTCATCACTATCCCTGCTGATGGCATTGATCATAATCTGTACATGATAGACGTGTTCAACAGCGTTCTTGGGCATCATTTTTCCACCATAACCACCTGTCAGATACTTGAAAAACCCCACCATGTAGTGCTCTCTTACATTTGTTTTCCTCTCTTGCCATTTTTAATAATACTCAATCTATGTTGTCTGCATTCTAGCCACTGCTTGTGTTCCAGCTTCCTCCTCTTTGCTAGGACTTTGTGATCTGGACGAAGATTCGCTGATCTTCAGCTTCTTAGCTCGTCACAACTTTCTGAGCTGGACTTTCTGGACACTTTGAGCTGGGTATCGACATATTGAGTACAGTTCCTTGAGATGGATTGTTGATTGAGGCCAGTTGACCTGTCGAGCGCAATGAACCTGTACCGACCTCAGTTGCCCACAATTAATAAGAACTGGTGTTTCTCTGGAGCCACTCTTATCGTCTTCATACATGTGTTGTTGAAGGTGTTGTGCAGCTTCCAGGAACTCTGCTTGTGACAGTATACCTCGTCCTTGACTCTGTTAAATAGAAAATCTACAATGTCCTTTTAAAACTTGTTGACACTTTCACCACAAGTCAGGATGTGTTCAACGTTGCCTTCTTGCGTGGTATCCTGGTGCTGATTAATAACTGCAAATGGAGTGATGACCTTTTTGAAATACTCCTGCAATTGCTCATTACGTCTATTGCAAAATAGCCAAGTGCTTGTCCGAAATGAGCATTATTTGTCCATTTAATTGGCAATGCTTTTGTAATTTTGAAAAATTTAGTTTTACTTACGAGGGATGAGAATTACTTTTTTGTTATAAATAGGTCCATTACTTATTTCATGCTCTACTCTTTTCTGGCATTTTAATATCGGTACAAGAAGAAAGCAGAGTTATTCCACTACATGCTTTAACTTTAATATAGTGTTTTTTAGACCCATGAAAGAGGCACTAACAGCTGACGACAAATAGCTACAGGTAAGGAAAAAATAAGATTAAATAATATAATAAAGGTACCGCATGACGTGGGTAGTACCTAGGTTAGGGTTTTTTTCTGTAAACACACTCTCCTAGTAATATAGTAGTAACTCAGTAAAAACCGAAACAAATAGATAAGAAACAGCGAAGTAAGAAGTGAAAATATCTAATGTACCCTAGCTTTTTACGAAACTAAATTACAGTAGCACAGGGAAGTATGCAATCGGGCAGACAACCTTTTAGTCATGGCAGACTGGTCATGGGATATACTGCTTGCCAATTTCGCCCTTTCCCTTATCCAAAAAATATCTTTCCCAATTAATTGAACGCTCTGATAGAGCTTAAGAAGTCAGCATCGTTTTGATGGCGATGTAAGCAAAAATGTCCCAACAATTTTGACTGAGACTGTTGTTCAGTGTCCGAATACTTAACTACATAGGTTCTTTTGTGGTCCTCTGATAATCTTAAAAAGCACTTTGGGACATTTTTCAGTAGAATTTGATGTTACAAACGCCACAAAATCACCAGGGATGGGAATATGTTCTATGCTTCTTTCCTTTTAGGCTTTCTAGAAACCACCAAGCTTAACATATCTACAATCTTAGGCAATAACCTTGAAATACTTTGAAAATTCTGCTCCCTTTTGTTTTCCCCCACCCTTTTGCAATGTTGTTGTAGCCACGCAACTTTGCAATAACATCTCAACATTGCAGGCGGAAAGGGACGTGCATAGGTGTTTCAAGGATTTTCGGCAAGGATTGTGTGAGGTGTAAAAGGCCATCAGGTTATCATTACACGCTCTTCAGACGTGGCGGCATGCTCGAAGAAACAGCAAGCGTGACCTATAGCGTAAGGTGTTTTGATTTTAACAGCTTTGAATTTATGACAAGAATTTCTTTCTTGACAATCTTTACCGCTCAAATTTTCGAGAACTGTTTCTCGATTTCAAGGGGAAAAAATTACAATACGAACTTTATTATTCAGAACAGGGAGCTAACTAAGAAGACAAGGGTTTGGCCAACATTACTAATTTCCAACAGCGGACCTAATGCAGTCAATGCAGAATTGACCAAGACATGATATCAATGCGAACTGATTTAAATCCAGTAGTGAACATATTTTAATTAGTAAGTGGAGACTTACATGCCAAAAGCGAGAGAAAAGTAATTTTTCACAGAACGGACAAAATGGAAATGAAAAATACAATTCTTAATACCTGCAGTATAGAGAAGAAGAAATGTGATAAAATTCGATGGATAACCGTATGCAGCGCCGAATGGAAATTCAGGGAATTCAAGGAAAGAAAACAAATTAACCCGATACTGAGCAACTCACTGAGTTCTATTTAAATAGAACTCGGCCCGATATAATTGCGTGATGCATCTGTTGCGTAATGTAAACAGTCATCGGTTAACCCCCTAGTTGACGCCAGGGTTTACCATTGGTTTTTTCTCTCTTTCTGTTTCAAATGTGTGTTTTCTAGCTTAAACAACGGTTTGATATGAAGTTAACTAAATATCCAACCCAACTGTTAAGTTCAGATCTAGCCAAAGCGTGAATTTCAGGGTTTTTACAACGGTTAACCATACTGTGTAATAAAATAAAGATGTCAACAGCGTTACTTTCATATTTAACAACGGTAAACCGTTGAACCTTTTCTCGTCGTGAGCAGACGGCAGTAGAAAGTAACAGTCGTACACTTTGGAAACAATGCTGTTGTTAAAGACGTTACGTGTCTGTATTTGTTTGCACATATAAATACGTGCTGCGACTTTTTGAAATCCACTGACACCGGAAAAACCTAATGGTAAACCGTTGGGGTAAACCGTGGCCTGTGTACATTACACAACACATGCATAGCGGAATTAATTCGGGGTGAGTCCCATTTCAACAGAAATACGGTCAGTTTTAAGTTACCTGCCTAACATTTACCTTCAGAAATTACTCTTATCAAGGAAAAACTACTTCTGTAAATTGGCTGCTCTAGCAAAGACATTTCTTGTGCTAAATCTTTGCAAGTCTTAGCACAATTACACTGTTGCAATGCGACACAACAGCTCACAACTGCAAATTCTGCTCGAATACACTCACTACCTTTCAAGTGAAAATTTCTTTTCAACACAACTCTTCTCCTTAGACATTTCACCTTCTCCTCTCACATTCAGAAAAAAACTTCACAAAATTTATCGAACTTCAACAAACGTGTACACCATCATTACAAGAGACGTTGCAGATGCAAGGCCGGCGCGTAGTCGCCACTAAAAATGTTAAAGTCTTATTTGGCATTTCTTGCGCTAGGCTCAATTACCAGCCGCTGTTCGGGAAAATGAGCCCGCACTCATCCCCCCGAAGGAGCGGCTGGACGCGTGCGATTTCCTTTGTTGGTTTCAGCCAATCATGTTACCGCCTGCAGATTTTCGTCTGCCAAGGATTGTCGCATAAATTATCAGATCAAAACAAAGTTGTCAAAATGGCGGACGATGTCGATAAGATGAATTTGGCTTTTGAGCGAGTTTTGGAGTGCTTTAAACTTCAAAATTTAAAAGATTCTCAGCGAGAGGCATTGCAAAACATAGTTAAAGGTCAAGATGTGTTCGTTATTCAGCCAACGGGGTCTGGAAAGTCATTAATTTTTCAGTCCGCACCGATCGTCTTCGACACAGTAAGACCTTTGACGAATGCAAAGTCGATCGCACTTGTGATTTCTCCCCTGGCATCTCTTATGCAAGGCCGAGTTTATAAGGGACGAACAGGAAAGCGAAGAGGCCAAGCAACTTGTGGAACGCGGGGAATGCCAAATCGTGTATGGCTCACCCGAGGCATTTTTTTTCTACCAAAAGATGGCGGGCAATGCTCAGCAACGATCCCTACAAAAAGAGGTTGTGTTTGGTTGCAGTTGATGAAGCTCACTGGATTTCTCACTGGTAAGTCTATTTACCCTTTCGCGTTTTCCTCTGTACTTTGACTCTCGTCCTTTTGCATTGTACATTGTACGCTTAAATACTTTATCAAATTGAAGCGAAGCTATTCTTCATAATAACATGTGCTCAAATTCTGATTGTAAACCCCTGAATATCTAGATGAAGCATACACTCTTACATCAAATCGATTTGTATTATATGATTCAATTTAAAAGTAGGATGAGATAATGTAGCTGTGCTGTATTTCTTTAATGAAGATGTTTGAGACGTACATGTGGTATATGACAATCAGATGCGGTGCTAGGTCCAATTTCCTCTCTCACTTAATTTCATATTATTACAAGAAGTCCAACATGACTTTTTTATTTTATGAGATACTTGCTTTCTTAGACATATATCTAATCCTAGTTATATTTAATTAGTCTTCAGTTCTTTCTCTGGCATGTACATGTAGTATGTGTTGTTGATGAAAATTACAGCTGAGAATAATGTTGTGCCTAAGAATATTCCTACGTTCCTGTGTCCTCTAATTTTAAATGTTCGAGATTATGAATATCTAGGAAAAGGAGGCAAAGGAAATGGAGAATACAACTAAGTTGAAGTGGAACATACTGTAAATACTGTCCACAAATTTAACTTAACCAGGGGTGTACCTCAAAAATCTAAAAATATATATTTCATTGTATTTATGTCTTTAATTGACTTACTTATTCCCCCTGAAAAACATGGGAAATGGCATTTCCAGAGCCCTAAAAGTAAAAAAATTTCTGAGAGCATACCGCTCAGCGATTGTTTCACTACTCCTTCCTGTGCGTACCTAACTGGAAAAACCACGTTACGCCCCAGTTAACTTAACATTATTGTATGTTTCCATTTCAGGGGTTATGCAATGAAGAAAGGAGAAATGGCTTTTCGAAAATGGTTCAGCCGGATCAATGAGATCCGCTCAATTGTCGGCAAAGTGCCCCTGATTGCACTGACTGCTACAGCAACTACGTCAACAAGACTCAAGATCATGCGGTCTCTTGAGATGAAAAGCCCAACCCTCATAATGGATAGCGCAAACAGAGATAACAAAACTTATGCTGTTCAAGTTATCACCCCTGATCCTGCTCAAACATTTAAGACCTTAGTTCAAGAGTTAAAGGAACACAAAGGATTAACTGAGAGGACAATTATATATTGCCAGACGATCAAAGTCACCACCTTTTTATATTCTTTCTTCATGTCAGAACTTGGTGATGACATGTACATTGACAATTCTGGTGACCCTAAGAAGAGGACTGTGGAAATGTTTCACAGCAGAATTGATGATCTTAATAGAGATCATATTTTGGAGTCAATGGGGGAACCAAATGGCTCAGTCCGTGTCTTGATAGCCACCATTGCCTATGGTATGGGCATTGACTGCAAGAATGTCAAGACAGTTCTGCACTATGGGCCTTCTTACAACCTTGAAACCTATCTGCAAGAAAGTGGAAGGGCTGGTAGGTCAAACCATGAAATGTGTAAGTCTGTGGTTCTTTACTCAAGCCTTATGATGAAGCACTGTTCTGAGGAAATAAAAAGTTATGTGCGAGAATCATCTACATGTAGAAGGAAAATACTCCTTAAAAACTTTGATGTGGACCTCGAAAAATTGCCTGCGGCTGAACCAGCACATAATTGTTGCGACTTTTGCAAGAAAAACTGTAAATGTCAGGGGGACTGTTGTGATTTTGTTTTCTTTAAGTCACTGTTCACAGATATCCAAGAGGGTCCAACTGATTGTCTTTCTAGAGAAGTGAGTGATGCTCAGAGGGCTAATCTACGTCAAAAACTGCACTACCTAAAGAAAGCCTTGAGGGGACAATATTTGCGTAGAGTAAGACTTGAAAATGTGCCAATGTTTACTCCTGCAAAGTTGTCTGGTGCATTTGGAGATCTGCATGTGGAACAGGTTTTGAGCAATTGTGAGAAAATTTTCACCGTCACTGACATTTTCAAATTTGTTGACATCTGGAATTTAAGTGTGGCCTTAGAAGTTTTGTTTACCTTCGGCCAAGTCTTTTGTGATGTTGATGTGTGTGAACCTGTTGAAGAGCCAGAACACAATGACACATCAGAGTTTGCTGATCTGGACATTTTTGATTTTGACATTGAGGATTCTGTCTTGGCTGGCATTCAAGAAGAAATGTTTTATACTGCTGAGGATAGCCTTTTTGCACCCAATGAAGAAGAGTCTGGCTCTGATGTTGAGTAAACTGAAGATTTTGTTTAATATGTTAACCCATAAATGTCATTATGTTCTGTACATTTCTATATTTAGCTGTTAGGGATAACTGAAGCATTCAAAACAGTATCATTATGTCTGGTGTTCATTCCCTTTCTTTTCTTACCCATGACATGTCAATGTTGCTTTGAGTATAAATATTACAGGAAATAAGGTTTTAAAAAAACTTGGAATAGTTACAAAACTGCAATATCACATCACTGTACATCAAGTCACAAACATGCAAATTACTAACTGTTATAGGATCGATTTCCGCCATCTCGTGGGTCTGCGACTCATTTTCCTGAAAAGCAGCTGGTAATCGAGCCTACAACTGTTACTGAAAAGATCAAAAGCACTTTTAGGTTTTTTCAACAGTGAAATGATTCATACATCCAATTCAAGGAGAACGTACTTGTGACATTGTGATACAGTTTAGTAGGTGCAACCTGGTATTTTTCAGATGATCCACATCTAGTTTTGCTTTTAACTAGCGGTTATTAAGCCTGTTGGGTAAAAAGACTTGTTGTAAATAAACAATATTATCAATGGTCTAAACAAAATTATCAATGGTCGGCTGAAATTTCCCATTTCTTAAGTCAAAAAGCTGTACATATAGGTTTTAAAATAAGCTCTTTAGAAAAATATTTGAAATTATTGGGAAACAATATTCCCTATTGGGTGGTATAGCTGTATCACAATCAGTTTCATTTGTTTTTACATTGACTCAACAAACACATGTATCAAAAAATCTATTTGGAGTACGTAGTGCATCATTTGGTACTCGCTTTGGTAAAGGTACACTGTCTTTCTGATAATCAACTGAAGGTGAGGTCTTTGTTAGCTTCACCCTATACTGTAAAGCCTCGAGGGTATTGTACATAAAAGGTTCATTAAATTTAATCATCAATTGAACATGTTTGTCTAATGCAGACAACCTAACATAAGAACCAAGTGCAAAGAAAGTCGGTTTTAAAGCTTACCACTCGGACAAGTTATTGCTAGTATGTACTAGCCCAAGAGTCCTTTTAAAAAAGCCCCCCCTCCCCCAATATTTTGATGAACAGCATTGATTACAGTTCTTTTGAAATTTGAATTTCACAAAAACCTTCACTTGCTCTTCCAGCAAGTAAAGAACAGAATACTAGCCCGATTGAAAAATCCACTAGCCCCGGGCTTTATCACACACGACTTTCTTTGCACGCTGAAAAAGCCACTTAAAATACCAAAAAAAAAGATTTGTGTCGCATCAATAGGGCTTTGTCTAGAAAGGTAATTTTTTAGTATTTTAGAAAAGATGGCTGCCTTCAGGAGATTGGCACATAGACATTTGACTACAATATGTAATTATTTTGCATGGATTTATCGTGGCCTTTTGCCAAGTCTGACATTTTTCTTATGCTCATTTATCCAAGAGAAAAGTCCCTTTGAATCTAGTGATTGGAGGTAGTCTCTTGAACAGTCTGGAAAGGAAAACATTGCTTCCCGGGTTGGCTGTTTATCAAATACATTCTGTTCATGAAGTGTTTAAACAACTTTCTTCAAATCCTGCCCGACAGATTTCTTGGAATGTTCACCTGAGATCTTCTTAACTTTTACCTCTAGGTCTAGGTGTTCCAAAAACGCTTTGACGACAAAGAATGCCCTACAAATTCTACGGACACTAGCTTCACTGATATTAGCTCCCAGACCTCTAATCATATCTTTGATCAAATGATTGTCATGTTCCAAGGCTAGATCCATGGCAACATTACATCCTGGCTGGCCATGATTGTTTACTGTTCTGTTCCATTTCATCCTTTCTGCTTCTCTAGGACTGAGCAAGGCATACAGTTGAAACATGTGGAACAAAGCCTCCAAAGCATACTTGGTGCTGCCACTGCCATCCTCTTTGAAATGTAAAAGGAACATCTTGATGCATCTTACTATCCTTTCACCATCACCCTCTTTCACAGCATCCATGAAGTTCCTTAACAGTAAAGCCATGTTCATGAAGCCACAGTGATAGTCAAAAATGTCATCTTTGGGTTTAGGATTTTGATCAGTGGGATCAGGCACCGTACTAACGAGTACTGGTTCCTCAGGAATGGTGGGTGGGGGGTCATGAGACAGTTCATGCCTCATCCTGTGGACTCCATCATGTTTAAATGAGCTTGAACACCCTGGGAATCTACAGGGGTACCTGCCATTTGGAAGTATAGGCTGATTAGTTTGGGCTGTTTCCCATTCCTGTAGTCCATCGACTACATAGGTTTGAATGAATTCTTTGATCACTTTGTAAAAGAAACGTTGGCGCACCACCTTGAGTCCTGTTGCTAATTCTGGGCTGATACTGTGCTTTGTGGGTGTGTCTTCTGTTGTTTCCATGCCAAAGAACTTAAGGGCTGCAGCAATGATACTTGCATCCAACACCAAATTCGCAAATCGCTTACATGGAGCAGGTTTTTGCTGGGCATCACTGACCACATCGCGCCAGTTTACAAGGTTTCTCAAAGCAAACACCGAAGTCTTGTCAGACGCTGAGGAACCGCTGTAGTACCTAGAAAAAATTAACTGGATAAAAGAAAAAAAAATGTGGCTAAATAAACTGTTTCATTTATATTTCAATGAAACTTTCTCTGAAAATGTCACTTAATGTGATCACATAGGAGAGGTGGTTTCTTATAGTAGCTCTCAAATGCAATGATTTGACAGGAAAAAAAACTATTCTAATTAATTTTTCCTATTGAGACACACTATGTGACAGAGATGAGCTATTCCTCTCTGACTTGCAGACTTACATGAAACCGGGAAAACTGTAAACACTGGAAATATTTCTGGAATGTCATTGTGTCGCATGAAGAAAAAAAGTCAGTCAAGTGTGAGAAACTAAACTACAGGCAAGAACGTTATTTAGTTTGTGGTTTTGTGGCTCATTTATGTGTCCTAATCTTTGCTGGATTGGTCATAACACAATAAATATTCCTGAAATGCTTCAAGTGCCCATGGTTTTACTGGTTTGACAGTATAGTGATGTGCCACGTGATAATAATATTATTTCCGTGTTTCAAAAACTTACTGATAGGAACTTGTTTTCATGATGCCAATCAGCAAGTTGAAAGAACAAGCCCTCCAATCTCCGTGTTTTGCTGTAAGCATTGCGGACAGAAAACTGTGCTTCCACCCCTCTCTCCAGTGTTTTCTGGTCTCCAACAACAGGGACACGGTCAAACACCTCTTTTCCATTCTCAAGTACAATTGGCACCAACCCATGGAGTTCCCTAACAATATCGATCATGTCCTCTCCCAAATTTTCATCTTTAAAAATGACACCAAGATGAACCTAATATGAAGAAAATGGCGAAACTGATATTAGTTTACTGCATTGTTTTTTTGTACTGTTTTTACTCATAATATTTTTTTAGTGATAAATTCCAATTTCATGCATTTTTGAAAATCTAAGGTGAGTAACTGGGTTTGAGCAGATTGAGAAAATGAGGCAAAAGTGGTGGTTAGGAGGAGTTTTTGCAAGTGTCCACAACAAGGAAGACTGATAACAGGTTCCAAAAATAGCCTACCCATTGATTGCTTTTACCTGGCCAATTTTGGTCGAGGATCAACTTCAGCCACTAATGCCTCCAGATTTTTACGTCAGGTACGTGTAAGAATATAATTATTGTACACATAAAATTAGGAAAAAAATAATTCACTAGTCTCTGAGTTACATCTGTAACAATAAAAATCTTACTGTTTCTGTGTTATTCTTCATTTCATCTGAGTACTTATGTTTGATGTGTAAGGGTATGACATCCTTGAATATCTCCAAAGCTCTGAAATGTTCCACCAGGACCCTACCAATGAGAACAGTGAAGTCAGACAATAATAAATTCTGGTCATTAAAGCTGGGAAGGAAGGTGCTGTTTGGTACATCTTGAAGATCGGCAGTTGGTGAATCATCTGGTAAATGGGTGGGGTTCACCCGGTCCATGTATGCATTGTGATTACACCAGTGAAAATCTTTATTTTGGTCATCTGATGTCATATTGGAAGCCAGAACTCTAAGGTCCACATTATCCAGCACTAAGTTGAAGCTGCTAGGTCGATTTTCAAAAAGCTTCTGTTTTTCCACATTAATGTTGGACTGGGATACATTCACTGCTGTAATCTGTTCCTCTACATTTGCACCTGCTGCAGCCAATTGGACCAATTCCTCTTTTCTCGTGTCAAGGTCACAACCTTCTTGCACAAGTTTAGAACATTTTTCAAGATGGGCAGTAATGTCTCCTTTCCAGTTTTTAATAGGGAGATCAAAATCCTCTCCAAGAAGATCTAGCGCCTTGTTGATACTTTTTGGGGACATTGTGACACCAAGTTTGTTCAGCTTGACAAGGGCCTGAAACAAAACCAAAAACACTTTTTTAACATGTTGCTCCAAATCATACAACCCACCCCCTAGAGAGCATATTATTATTAGTTATTATAAGTGATTATTATTATTATTATCAGCATCATTTCAACTGTCACCTATCTAGAAATTAGCACTTTCGTTTATAACTAGGTAAATTATCAATTTAGTTTGGCTTTTAAGAATTTCTTGAACTTGAAATTTGTAACGTTTATGGATATTTTTGGAAGCACAAACACATTAAACAACATATTATTGACTCAAAGATTAATTTAATTTTCTTTCAAAAAAATGAAAAAAGTCTAGAAAAAAATTTGAGCTATGGTATGTTGTTTGCCGTGTGGGGAATTACTAATAATTGGTATCTGATAACGTCCTGGACTATGATTACTGAAATAATGTTTATGATTCAAGTATGTTTAAAAATTGGTTATCAAACAACAACGAGGAAAACAAACAACTATGTGCTTACCCGTTTTGAAGTCCTTCCGACCTTGAGAATGGTGCTGATGCCTTTGTCGCGGTTTTTGAGCAAGACAGCGGCCGCAGTACAAATACCAGGGTACCTTTCAGTTGTTTCAGGGTCGCTGCTTTTAGAAAGTGACTTTGGATCGGCCGAAGCCAAGAGAAGACGATAAAATAGCGGCGACTTTTCACGAATTTCTTGTCCAATGGCACGCCAAGAGAAATTTAAAACGCTGTCCTTCGTTGCCGTTCTTAAAAGCGTAGGGTTTGCCTTCGAACACAATCTCTTACATTCAATATTCACATCAGAACAAAGACGATCTTCTACTGCTTTTCTAAGCGCAGCACTATCCATAACCGCGTCTGCGATAGATTTGTAACCGCTTCCCCTGGCCAAAGCTTTTCCAAGCTGATGAAGATCCTGAGGCAACACTCCAACTTTTCTCCCGGATTCGTAAGTCACTATGGCCTGAAATTAATGCCTAAAAACGGTATGACCTGCTAGTTATATCAAAGCAATGTAAACGAACTAATTAAGTTTAATCACTTACCTGAACTTGACAAATATTTCCCTCGCAATTGACATCGGAAATGTTTCTTTCCTCGAAAGGTACAATTTGAACAGGCCAAACCAAAGGTAACAGATCTGGGCCGGGATTTGGTTTTGGTTGAATCTCTGCGAATGACAAGCTTTTTGCAGCCTTTCCCCTTCCTTGATCCGTCGCGTGGCGAAGGGATTTCGACGGCGCGGAGACACTTGGCGAAATTCTGGAGTCCGAAGGAACACAACGTTTTGTTCGATTGTTTGCTGTGAACTTTTCTTGCAATGATTGTTGGAGAGATTTTGCATCCTCAAGGATCTTTTCGGGGAGGATCAAGACCGGACCCGGGAGACGGCGGAAATTGAGCCGATTCTTGCGCATGCTCCGAAAATTTCGCGCCACTTCAGACAATCTTAGACAAAAACCTTGAAGCACTTTGGAAAATTCTGCTCCCTTTTCTTTTCCCCCTCCCTTTTGCAATGTTGTAGCCACGCAACTTTGCAATAACATCTCAACATTGCAGGCGGAAAGGGACGTGCATAAGTCTTTCAAGGATTTTTGCCGAGGATTGTAGTTCCTTTTCTTCTGAGCCAAGGGATGTTTGATGTGAAACCATACGGAATGTTTCATCAAGGTTGCAAACGATTAACTCATCGAAGGACGCTACTTCCCGGCAAAGTCAAAAGATAATTTACAACCACTTTTCTTTAACTGACTATAGGTAACTTCATTGAAAAATATTTTCCAGAAAGTGGAGACATGTAATATACGAAGCATGATTGAAAGGGTTGCCTCTTGAACTGACGAACAAAAAATCATGTTCTTTATCCCCCAAAAGCAAGTTTCTCATTTTAGTGCAGTAAACTGTCAAAGAGTGAGTAAAGATAAAACACTTTGGGACAACTTTTGGTAGTCCCTCGCCAATGTGAATTTCAAGTCGCTGATAATTTGCATCTCCACCAGACACTTCTCCCAGAACTTATATTGCTTTCCGAGTTTTCTTTTACTTGTAAAAGTGGTTGATGTCCTCGTCCTCAAATGCTATTATGGCCTCTTAACCACACTTGTCGTTTGTAAGGTAGTCGAACAATGTATGGTTTTGCTGAAGTTTTCTTGCCACTTTCGCGGACTTGCGCATTTTTTCGTTGGAAATTCTGAGATGCTTTTCCACTAGCAAACCATGATGTACAAAGTTGGAAAATAGTCGGACGCTTTTCAGATAGGACTTCAACATTCCACTTGTCAACTTCTTTCCGTTGAAAGATAGGGTTCCTTGAATGTCTGAGATATATAACCCTTTCTTTTTTACCAGAAAGTATATGTCATCACTATCCCCGCTGATGGTATTGATCATAATCTGTACATGATAGACGTGTTCAACAGCATTCTTGGGCATCATTTTTCCACCATAACCACCTGTCAGATACTTGAAAAACCCCACCATGTAGTGCTCTCTTACATTTGTTTTCCTTTCTTCCCATTTTTGATAATACTCAGCTCACTCACAGCATTGGTGGCAGGTATAACAAGATGTAGCTTTTATGGATTCTTATACATTAAATCCCCTCATACAGTATATGATTATCTGGATCTTAGCTTGCCACACTGAAGTATATCCCAGCCTACGCAAAGTTGAAAGTTAAAAGTTGGTGGGGTAGCATCCCCATCCCCTAGTGCCGCTCTTGCATTCAACAAAGGTAACATACACTTCGCTCACAAGACACTATATAACTTAGTCATTGTAAAACATTTACTGCTTATGAATGTGGCGATGTATGTGAATGTTCAGTTTTCTTAACTCGTAGATCGAGGTAGAATGCAGGTAAACGAGATCAGTAGAATAAATCAATGTATTTACAGTTTCTTTATAACTCTTACCAGCACTGACTTTAACTTTACCTAGTTCAGTATCCGAATACTCAGCTAAGATAGGTTCTTTTCTGGTTTTCCGATAATCTTAAAAGACACTATGGGACATTTTTCAGTAGAATGTGATGCTACTCACGCCACAAAATCGCCACGGATGGGAAGATGTTCTATGCTTCCTTCCTTCAAAGCTTTCTAGAAACCATCGAACTTAACATATCTAGTTCCTTTTCTTCTGAGCCAAGGGATGTTCGATGTGAAACCGCTTTTTGCATCCGTGACGAATGTTTCATCAAGGTTGCAAACAATTATCTCAGCGAAGGACGCTACTTCCGGCAAAGTCAAAAGATAATTTACAACCACTTTTCTTTAACTGACTATAGGTAACTTCATTGAAAAATATTTTCCAGAAAGTGGAGACATGTAGTGTCTGAAGCATGATTGAAAGGGTTGCCTCTTGAATTGACGAACAAAAAATCATGTTCTTTATCCCCAAAAGCAAGTTTCTCATTTTAGTGCAGTAAACTGTCAAAGAGTGAGTAAAGATAAAACACTTTGGGACAACTTTTGGTAGTCCCTCGCCAATGTGAATTTCAAGTCGCTGACAATTTGCATCTCCACCAGACGCTTCTCCCAGAACTTATATTGCTTTCCGAGTTTGCTTTTACTTGTAAAAGTGATTGATGTCCTCGTCCTCGAATGCTATTATGGCCTCTTAACCACACTTGTTGTTTGTATGGTAGTCGAACAATGTATGGTTTTGCTGAAGTTTTCTTGCCACTTTCGCGGACTTGCGCATTTTTTCGTTGGAAATTCTGAGATGCTTTTCCACTAGCAAACCATGATGTACAAAGTTGGAAAATAGTCGGACGCTTTTCAGATAGGATTTCAACATTCCACTTGTCAACTTCTTTCCGTTGAAAGATAGGGTTCCTTGAATGTCTGAGATATATAACCCTTTCTTTTTTACCAGAAAGTATATGTCATCACCATCCCTGTTGATGGTATTAACCAGAATGTGTATATGACAGACATGTTCAACAGCGTTCTTGGGCATCATTTTTCCACCATAACCACCTGTCAGATACTTGAAAAACCCCACCATGTAGTGCTCTCTTACATTTGTTTTCCTTTCTTCCCATTTGTGATAATACTCAGCTCACTCACAGCATTGGTGGCAGGTATAACAAGACGTAGCTTTTATGGATTCTTATACATTAAATCCCCTCATACAGTATATGATTATCTGGATCTTAGCTTGCCACGCTGAAGTATATCCCAGCCTACGCAAAGTTGAAAGTTAAAAGTTGGTGGGGCAGCATCCCCATCCCCTAGTGCCCCCCTTGCATTCAAGAAAGGTAACATACACTTCGCTCACAAGACATTATTCATTGTAAAACATTTACTGCTTATGAATGTGGCGATGTATGTGAATGTTCAGTTTTCTTAACTTGTGGATCGAGGTAGAATGCAGGTAAACGAGATCAGTAGAATAAATCAATGTAATTACAGATTCTTTATAACTCTTACCGGCACTGACTTAAACTTTACCTAGTTCAGTATCCGAACACTCAGCTAAGATAGGTTCTTTTCTGGTTTTCCGATAATCTTAAAAGACACCATGGGACATTTTTCAGTAGAATGTGATGCTACTAACGCCACAAAATCGCCACGGATGGGAAGATGTTCTATGCTTCCTTCCTTCAAAGCTTTCTAGAAACCATCGAGCTTAACATATCTAGTTCCTTTTCTTCTGAGGCAAGGGATGTTCGATGTGAAACCGCTTTTGCATCCATATGGAATGTTTCATCAAGGTTGCAAACAATTATCTCAGTGAAGGACGCTACTTCCCGGCAAAGTCAAAAGATAATTTACAACCACTTTTCTTCAACTGACTATAGTTAACTTCATTGAAAAATATTTTCCAGAAAGTGGAGACATGTAATATACGAAGCATGATTGAAAGGGTTGCCTCTTGAATTGACGAACAAAAAATCATGTTCTTTATCCCCCAAAAGCAAGTTTCTCATTTTAGTGCAGTAAAGTGTCAAAGAGTGAGTAAAGATAAAACACTTTGGGACAACTTTTGGTAGTCCTCGCCAATGTGAATTTCAAGTCGCTGACAATTTGCATCTCCACCAGACGCTTCTCCCAGAACTTATATTGCTTTCGGAGTTTGCTTTTACTTGTAAAAGTGATTGATGTCCTCGTCCTCGAATGCTATTATGGCCTCTTAACCACACTTGTCGTTTGTATGGTAGTCGAACAATGTATGGTTTTGCTGAAGTTTTCTTGCCACTTTCGCGGACTTGCGCATTTTTTTTCGTTGGAAATTCTGAGATGCTTTTCCACTAGCAAACCATGATGTACAAAGTTGGAAAATAGTCGGACGCTTTTCAGATAGGACTTCAACATTCCACTTGTCAACTTCTTTCCGTTGAAAGATAGGGTTCCTTGAATGTCTGAGATATATAACCCTTTCTTTTTACCAGAAAGTATATGTCATCACTATCCCCGCTGATGGTATTGATCATAATCTGTACATGATAGACGTGTTCAACAGCATTCTTGGGCATCATTTTTCCACCATAACCACCTGTCAGATACTTGAAAAACCCCACCATGTAGTGCTCTCTTACATTTGTTTTCCTTTCTTCCCATTTGTGATAATACTCAGCTCACTCGCAGCATTGGTGGCAGGTATAACAAGATGTAGCTTTTATGGATTCTTATACATTAAATCCCCTCATACAGTATATGATTATCTGGATCTTAGCTTGCCACACTGAAGTATATCCCAGCCTACGCAAAGTTGAAAGTTAAAAAGTTGGTGGGGCAGCATCCCCATCCCCTAGTGCCGCTCTTGCATTCAACAAAGGTAACATACACTTCGCTCACAAGACACTATATAACTTAGTCATTGTAAAACATTTACTGCTTATGAATG